TTCCCTACAGAAAAAGAAATTTGTATTTTGAGTTGTTAAAAAATTAGCTATATATTTTTTATAAGAAATAACTAGAATGACAGGTTGAAAATAAGTGGATGGGCAAAAATATACCAAGTAAACAAGGATAAATATTATTAGTGTTACACAGTATGGAAATAAAATACCAAAACGATTATACTAGACCAAGGTTGGCAAACTTCTTATCTAGAGGGCCAGATAGGAAATAAATAGGCATTGTGGCCACAGTCCTTGTTGCAACCACTCAGCTCTACTGTTGTAGACAATATGTAAATAAATGAACATGACTATGTTCCAATAAAACTTTATTTATAAAACAGGCAGCAGGCCAGATTTGGTTTGTTGACCCCTACACTTGACAGAGTAGGATATTGTTTAGTGATAGAAGTATGATTCTTAAATAGGGGTTAAGTTATATGTCTTTATAGGTCAAACATAAAGTAAAAAATCTCTGGATATTCAAGATTGTGGTTAAAAAATTCAATTTTAGGAAATTCTGATCCAGTATACCAAATTATATAAGAATGTGGAGAATTTTATCATTATAATCTACTGCTTAAATATAATCTAGTATCCAAAAAAGAATATACATTATTTTTCAATGTTATGGAACATATACAAAAATCAATCCTGTACTTAGCCACAAAGAAAAATGCTAAATACAAAAAATTAGATACTTTCAGGCCACATTTACCAATCATAATAAAATAAAATTTGAAGTTACATCATTTAGGATGCTTTCAGCTCAAGTTTACAAAATGTCCAACTAAAAGTAACTTCAGCAATAAAGGTTTATTTTTCTTAGATAACAAGGCATCTAAGAGACAGTTCCAAACTGGCCTCATAGCTCAGTGTTAGGGTGCTGGGTCAGCTTCTTTGAGGTCCTCTCTTTTCTGCTCTTGGTTCCAAGATGGTTGCAGCAGCTCCAGGCATCAAGTTCTCAGAGGAAAATGTTTAAAAGCAAGAAATGAAAGAGGAGGGAGTCTTCCTAATGTATCTGTCTCTTCTGAATAAGATCTTTCCCAGAAGGCCCTGTAGATCCCTAGAACATACTGGCCATACACTGGAACATCTGGGCCATCTTGAGCTGCAAAGCAGGCTGAAAATTAGCATGTGACATCTGCAGCTTCTAAGACAAGACACAGATGCTGCCAATAGGAATGGGAATTGGGTATGGCTGCTAGGTAGGCAACCAACCCCTTCTGTCTGTGATGTTATAAAAGATAATCTAAAACAACCTGGAAACTAAGAAACAGTCTCCTAAATTTAGTTTACTCTTGGATCAGAAAGAAATAAAAAATGAGATTATTATAGGATAACCACTTCCTATTTCATCATTTTGTTTTTGTTTTCTGTTCATTTACTCATCATCAGGGTGTTTGGTATTGTCTTTTCTGGCTTCTTAAATAGTACATTTAGTATATTTGAGTACTATCTTTCAGGTTTTCATGTTTTGCATATACTTAAAGGCCATAAAAGTTCCTCTGAGTAACTTCAGCCACATCACACATTTCTTGACATGTAAAAACTCTCATTGTCATTCTGTTCCTTACCACTGATGGTAACTGCATGACTTAGTTTCTTGTTAACCCAAGAGTAATTTGGCTGTTCTTGTTTTTTTTTTTCTTCTTTTTAATTTCCAATAAAATTCACACTTGGCCATTGTTAAAATTATTACACTGTGGTAAGAAAATGTGATTCTGGTGTGTGTTAGAGACAAAATTTTTTCCAATGTTTTCATCTTTGACAATCATGGTCTAAAAAAATTTGCATCCGTATAATTTTTCTTCAATATGAATTTTATTACTCAGGATAAAGGACAACTCTGAATAAAGGAATTCTCACTTGCATTACATTCTTCATGTCTTTCTCCAAGATAAAAAGAGTAAGTTGTGATTAGCCTAAGCTAATGGACTCTTCCCATTATTTCCATTCATATGGTTGCTTGCTAACATAAATTCTCTGATGATTAATAAGGGATAAGTGCTGATGGAAGGTTTTTCTACATTTATTAAATTCACTTGTGTTTCTCTATCATGCATTCTCTGATGTTGAATGGTAGTTGAGTCATGATTTAAAGTCCTCCCACATTCCTTATATTCATAGGGCTTTTCCTCAGTATGAATTACCTGATGTTGAATCAGTTGTGAGCAATGGCTGAAGGCTTTCCCACATTCCTTACATTCATATGGTTTCTCACCCGTATGAATTCTATAATGTACAGTAAGATGTGAGACCCGTTTGAAAGCCCTACCACATACCTTACATTGGTAGGGTTTCTCTCCTGTGTGAATTCTCTGATGTTGCTTAAGTTGTGAGTTCACCCTAAAGGCCTTCCCACATGCCTTACATTCATAGGGTTTTTCACCAGTATGAATTCTCTGATGTCGAATAAGAGTTGAGCCTTGATTAAAGGCCTTCCCACATTCTTTACATTCATAGAGTTTCTTGCCAGTGTGAATAGTATGATGTTGAATCAACTGAGAACGATGACTAAAGGTCTTCCCACATTCCTTGCATGCATAGGGTTTTTCACCAGTATGAATTCTACAATGTACTTTAAGATGTGAGATCCGATTGAAGGCCTTGCCACATTCCTTACACTGATAGGGTTTCTCACCAGTATGAATTCGTTGATGTTCAATCAACTGTGAGCTTCGACTAAAGGCCTTTGCACAATCCTTACATTCATAAGGTTTCTCACCAGTATGAACTCGCTGATGTTGTATGAAATTTGAACCAGAATTGAAGGCCTTTCCACATTCCTTACATTCATACGGTTTCTTGCCAGAATGAATATTCTCGTGTTGAATTAGTCGTGAGCCATATTTAAAAGCCTTCCCACATTCCTTACATTTGTAGGGTTTCTCATTAGTATGAATCCCTTGATGATTAATAAGGAAGTCCTCTTGCCAGAAGTCTTTTCTACATTCATCATATCCATAGGGTTTTTCTCCAATATGAATTTTCTGATAAAAAGTAAGAGATGCTTGCTGGTCAAAAGTGGACATTTCTTCATTATCGATTATCATTTGACTCAAATGTCCATCTGGATTTCCCTCTTGCCTGTCAAACTGACTTCTGCATTCCCAATCATCTTGGAAACTTGAGCACTCAAAACCATAACTTGTAAGGCTTTCCATTATCTGCCACCGGGGTAACTGTACTTCATAACTGTGCTGCTTTGGAGATAATACCTTAGTATCATACCTGGACTCCAATACTGAAAAAGAACAAAACAAGTATGTATTTGTTTTTTCCTTTTCCAGAAAAAGTAACTTCTATAGTAAAAACTGGAAAGTTCAGACTCAGGATAATATCTGTAAGCTCTTGAATGTGACTAAGAAATTAGAAAATGGAGTAGAACAGAGAAAGAGGAAATACCATAAATAAAGATGAATGAGGTAATCAGAGAGATTATAAGAGTAGTTCTAAAATGTTAGTGTGGATCAGAATCACCACTGAACCATGGTTTTAAAAAATGAATATTTCTATGAAACCCTAGAAAAGACACATATGAGTAACAGAAAGCAAATCATTTGTTGCCAGGGGCTGGGGGGGTATGAGCAATTGTGTGGGAAAGAGCATAGGGAACTTTTCAGGGTGATAAATATGTTCTCTATCTTGTCTGTGGTGGTGGTCATGTAAGTGTATACATTTGCCAGTAGCCATTAAAATATTGTACTTAAGATGCATGCATTTAATTTAATATAGATGATACCTCAATAAAGTAGATTTTTAAAAATGATGGAGAGTGGTGACTGGATACTTCTCTGGCCAGAGGAACATGACGGTGCATTTGCTTGATGTGGTGGTATAGGAGGGCTATTTTCACATGTCCACTGGAAGGTGTAATAACACAGCTGTGGCCTTCTGCTGTAATGCTTTCTGTCTCTGAAGTTTAGCTGAACACCGTGGCTAGAGCTAATGTCAGCTGGACCAGTCTCTCCTGGACTTTTCCACTGCCTAAAAGTGTCCTTGGAAAAAGGAGGGCCTTGTTCCTTGTTTAGAAGATTAGGCCCAAATTTAATAGGGGTGGCCTCTTCCAGAGCAATATTCTTTGCTGGTTATTCAAAACTGCAAGGAAAGGCTGAATAGTGTATTTGATCTTGATTCTACCTGGTACATCATTTCCATACAGTGGCCCGTTTTACTGCAGTCACAGAAATCAGTCCCATTTGGTTAATAATAAAGAATTGGTTTCAGCTTCATGCAAGGAACTATGGGGGAAAGTGAATGGGTGCTTTTGAACATATTCATAAGTTATAGACAGAAGGCCAAAGGGGACTTTATAGGGGCACGTCTGCTTCCTGTGGTAGCACATCAGAGACCACTATTGGTTTTTTTGTGAAATTATTAAGCAAAAACTACTGGAATAAAAGATTACTTTGACAATGCAAGATGATGAAAAGTCTGTGAAAGAAGTATCAATTTTCTGGGAATGATGCTGCTGTCACCTCAAAAATTTGCACCACGTGAAGCTGTAAGAACAAAGAGAGTGAAAAGAACAAAAAGTAGAGGTATTTTTTCAGACACCACGTTTGGTTGTTGAAGAGGGAAGCTCTCTTTACAGGTCTCTTTATTGTGCTCTAACAATTGTGCTAAGACAGATTCCAAACACATCCATTATAATGGCTACTATGAACTGGTGGTCCATCTACTCAATGGTTAGCAACATCTGGCTGCCATCCTATAAACAAGGGACCAAAAGATTGCAGTGGACCATGGAATATTAAAGCCAGCCTGGTGGACAGAAGAAAATTAGTTTGGGAATGTAACTATGCCCTAATGGAAATCTGGTTTTAGGAACTAAAGTGATAACATATTACTTGGTCTTTTTGGCAATGTAAAAAAAACTGCTGCCTCTAAGGACATGCCATTAAAAACACTCCTCTCTCCAAAATGCCATATTTTCTGTCACAGACATCAGACACAGTTGAGTTTTGCTGATTTATGGCAGTTAGAGTACAGTGTTTATTCCATGAGCACTTTGCACTCATCTGAATTAAGCCATCTCTAATCATATATTGTGCTATAACTATACAAAGATAGTACTAATTTTCTAATTTCTGGCTTCTGTTCTACTTCTTGTAAAGTTGCAAAATAGCAACAATAATAATGAGGTCCTCTGTATTATTTTTATATTTTCCTGATAGGATCTGGTGCAGTTTTTTTAGAAGCTGATTATTTAGCATTAGTAGTTACTGTTTTTAACAACAAATGAAATAATGTCTAAAAATCTTATGTATAGCCTTAGCATTAAAATGTTTTGGTTTCCTCATATGGAAACTCAAAGGATCCCAAATGGCCAAAACAATCTTGAAAAGGAAGAACAAAGTTGGAGGCCTCTCTCACTTCCTGATTTCAAAGCATATTAAAGAGCTACAGTAATCAAAACAGTGTGGTACTGGCATAAAGGAAAACATAAAGACCAGTGGAACAGAATGGAGAGCGCAGAAGTAAACCCATATACATATTGTCAAATGATCTTCAACAAGGATGCCAAGACCACACAATGAGGAAAGGACAGGCTCTTCAACAAATGGGGCTGAGGAAATTGGATATCCACATGCAAAAGAAAGAAGCAGGACCCTTACTTTATACCACATTTAAAAAAATAACTCAAAATGGATTAAAGACCTAAACCTAAGACTTAAAACTATAAACTAGAAGAAAACATAGGGCAAAAGCTTCATGACACTGTATCTGGCAATGGTTTCTTGGATATGGTAACAAAAGCACAGGCACCAAAAGCAAAATAGACAAATGGGACTATATCAAACTTAAAAACTTCTGTGCATCAAAGGAAAAAAATCAACACAGTGAAAAGGCAACCTACAGAATGGGAGAAAATATCTTCAAACCATATAACTGGTAAGAGGTTAATAGACAATATAAAGAACTCCTAAAACTCAACAAAAAACACAGATAACCTGATTTTAAAATGGGCAAAGGACTTGAATAGACATTTCTCCAAAGAAGACATATAGATGGCCAACAGGCATATGAAAACATGCTCAACATCACTAATCATTTGAGAAATGCAAATCAAAACTATAATGAGATACTGCCTCACAGCCATTAGGATGGCCACTATTAAAAAAAAAAAAGTGTTGATAGGGTGTGGAGAAATTGGAGCCCTTGTGCACTGTTGGTGGGAATGGAAAATGGTGCCGTCACTATGGAAAATAGTATAGTGGCTCTTAAAAAAGTTAAAAACAGAATTACCATATGATCCAGAAATTCTACTTTTGGGTATATATCCAAAAGAAATGAAAGCAGAATCTGAAAGAGATACCTGCACACCCATGTTCACTGCAACTTTATTTACGATAGCCAAGAGGTAGAAGCAACCCAAATGTCCATTGACAGATGAATGGATTAAAAAATACAGCCTTAAAATGGAAGGAAATCCTGTCACATGCTACATTATGGGTCACCCTTAAGAACATCACACTAAGTGAAAGAAACCAGACACAAAAGGCCACATATTGTATGATTTATGCGAAATATCCACAATAAGCAAATCCATAGAGACAGAAAGCAGATTAGTGGTTGCCAAGCACTGGGGGGAAGGAGGAATGAGGAATGACTGCTTAATGGGTATGGGTATGGGTATGGGTTTCCTTCTGGGGTATGTCTAGGAAAAACACACTTCTCAACACCATTCACTCCATACCTCACTTCTGACACTTCTGGTCATCAAATGTGTGTGGGTTTTTCGCTTACACCAAGCAGCCCTCCATCTCTCTGGTAGATACTGATTGGGCAACCTACAAATTCAATTCTGACACTATCTTGCTGCAGATCTCACAGATTAAGGGCTCAGTCTCACAAGACTGCCCCTACCAGTGCCCCACCCCCCATAAATGGAAGTTCCCACAACCCCCTCCATGGGTTTTAATCATTTGCTAGAATGGCTTGCAGAATTTAGGAAAACAGTTTACTTACTATATTACCAGTTTATTACAAAGGATGTAACTTACGACCAGCCAGACAGAAGAGATGCATCGGGCAAGATGTGAGGAAAGGCTGTGGAGCTTCCATACCACCTCTGGGCACACCACCCTCCCAGCACCTCCATGTGTTCAGCAAACTGGAAGCTCACTGAACCCCATACTTCAGGGACTTCTATGGAAACCTCACTATGTAGGCATGATTGATCAAATCATTGGCCATCAGTGATTAACTCAAACTCCAGCACCCCCTTCCCTGGGGTTGGGGGTGGAGCTGAGAGTTCCAACCCTTTAATCACATAATTGGTTCCCCTCTCAACCAGCCCCCATCCTGAAGCTATCCAGGAGACCCCAGCCACCAGTCATCTAATTAGCATATAAGAAGACACTTATGACGCTGGAGATTCCAAGGGTTTTAAGACTTGTGTGCCAAAAAACAGGGATGAAGAACAAATATATATTTCTTATTATAAATCACAATATCACAGGGCGATAAAAATATTCTGAAACTAGATAATGGTGAATGTACTAAATGCCAATGAACTATACACTTTAATAAGGTGAATTTTATTATGTATATTTTACCATAACTTTAAAAAAATTAAAAAACATTTTCCATAAAAACTATAAATGACCACAACTGGCTCAAGAAATGCAACACTTGAATGTTAAATTCAATATTCAGTATCAGGAGTTCAGTATGAGGAAACCTATTCATATAATGCAGATTTTATAGATGGAAAGAAAAAAACACTTAATAAAATATGAAAAGGTGGATCTTCTTTAACCTAAGAAAATACCCCTATCTCATTCCTATGGCTGATATTATGCTTAATGAAAGACACTAAAAATATTCCTATTAAGGTCAAGAACAAGATTAGTACGTAAAACCCCTCTTAACAGTGTTCTGCGGGTACTACATAATCAGCATCCTAATCAGGCAAGAGAAAACAACCTGCAAGGTATAAAAATGTAAAAACATTATCACCATATGCAGATGATATAACTGAATACTTGGACAGCTCAAGAGAGTTACATAAAAAACTGTCATAAACAATGAGAAAATTCAGTAAGTTGGGTTAGCTACAAAATTCATCTGAAGATGTGAATGGCTTCTGTCATATATAAAAAAATAACCAGTTGGAGTATAAAATGGATGAATGCCATATTAGTCTATATTATAGATTATGCCAGTAACAGCAATAAATATAAACTACCTAGGAATAAATGTAATAAGACACATATAAGATCTATATGAAGAAAATGTTAAAACCTTAATCAGGGATGGACATAAATGAAAGGAAAAGCCTGTCATGTTCCTCAATAGAAGACTCTGCATAATCAGTTTTCTCCTAAATTAATCTATAAATTTACAGTGATCGCAGTAAGAAAAATTGCATGATTTTATTTTTTTGAAAGCAAATATACTGATTCTAGGGTTTGGACAGAAAAGTAAATGAGACTAGCCAGGAAAACTCTGAAAAATAACAATGAAGAGGTACTAATTGTACCAGATATTTAAAACATTTAAACTCTTAATAAATTAAAACCATAATGGTATAGACACATGGTTAGAGAGATTAATGGGCTAGAACAGAAAGTCCAAAAATAGATCCAAATACAGAGGTGATAAAGCAGATGACAAAGCTGGCTTTATACATTAGTGGTGAAGAGATAAATGCTGTTTCAATAAGTGGATAATAATCTGGAAAATAACATGAAATCACATCTTACATTGGGAAAAATTCCATATGGGTCATAAATTTCATCATAAATAAGCTAGAAAAATATCACAGGAGACTCATAACCTCAGAGGGTGAAGTTCTCTTTAAATATGACACATACCCACATATCTAAGGAGTAAACAAATTGAGCACCTCAAACAAACACATGCTGTCAAAACTCAAACGACAAAAGCAAAAAAATCTGTTCTGTGACATTTCAGGTGTGGTAGGCAGAATAATGGCCTCCCAGAGATGCCCATGTCCTAATTCTCGGAACCACGAATATGTTAGGTTACACGGCAGTACACAGCTTCTCTCCCCATGTTCACTCCACCCTGATCTCACTCACTCCAAGGGGCCAACTACCACTTCAACGTGGATGAATCTACCACATCAGTAACGCTTAGTTCTTAGTTTTCCATTTGAAATTCTCTTGAATGCTGCAGAAATTGTTTATGGACATGATTTTGGTCTCGTGTCACACTGTAACTTTGGGTCTAATCAGGGAAGATTTTGCCCCCCTCAGGGAACACTTGGCAATGTCTGGAGACATTTTTGGCTTCACAAGTAAAGGGAGGCCAGGGAAGCTGCTAAACATCCTGCAATGCATAGAATGACACCCCCTCCACCCTGGCCCCAACAAAGAATTATCCCACTCAAAATGTCAATACCACTAAGGTTCAGAAATCCCCCATCCAGAACAGGAGCACCCCAGGCAGAAGGGACAGCAAGGGAAGAAGCCTCGAAACAGGAATACGCTTGATGTTTCAAAGCCAGGATGCATATACTTGTATTGTCTGCTTTTGTGCTCCCATGGCAGAGCTGAGTACTTGCGACAGAGACCACAGAGCGGGCAAAGCCTGAAACACTTAACTGTCTGGACCTTTAAACAAGACATTTGCCAACCTCTATGTTAATGTAACAGCAAAGAGGCTTGTGTGGCTATAACCGAGTCAGCAACATGGAGAGTGGTAGGAAATCAAATCAGAGTGGAGGCTGCAGGGCAGATTTTCTAGAGCAACTTAGTCCAACACAAGTTTCTGTGATACTGAAAATGTTCTATTCTATTCCAGTACGGCAGCTACTAGCTACACATGGCTACTCAGCATTGGCACTGTGGCTAGGGCGACTGTGAAATGGAATTCTATGTTTCATTTTAGTTAAAATTTAAACAGCATGTGTGGCTGATGGCTACAGTACAGACACAGAGCCTTCTAGGCCATGGTATGGGTTTTAGGTTTCCTCTTGAGTGATGGGAAGTTGTGGGCAAGTTTGTTTTTTGGGTTTTTTTTTGTGGTACACGGGCTTCTCACTGTTGTGGCCTCTCCTGTTGCGGAGCACAGCCTCCGGACGTGCAGGCTCAGCGGCCATGGCTCACGGGCCCAGCCGCTCCGCGGCATGTGGGATCTTCCCAGACCGGGGCACGAACCCGTGTCCCCTGCATCAGCAGGCAACCACTGCGCCACCAGGGAAGCCCTGTGGGCAGGTTTTGAGCAGAAGTGTGATACACCCTCACTGAAGTTTTGAGACGGTCCGGCTGCTGTGTGGAGAATGCACTGTAGTGGACAACAGTGCAGGCAGAGGCATGGGGAGGAGGCTACTGCAGTAGTCCAAGTGGTGCTGGGGCCGTGGGTGGTAGCAGTGTTGGTTGTTGGTGAGAAGTGGTTAAATTCTGGATATATTTCAAGGCAGAGTGAACAGGATTTCCTGACAGACTGAATACATGTGTGAGACAGAAAAGTCAAGGGTGCTTCAGCAGTTTTTGACTTGAGCAATTAGAATAGAGTCCCCTGTTACTGAAGTGCAGAAGAAAGGGGGAAGAATATATTTGTTAGGAAGGATCAAGGACTCCCTTTTGGACTTAAGCTCAAAGTGTCTGGTGAACATCCAAGTGGAGTTGATAAGAAGGCTGTAGGATATAGGTATCTGGAGTTTTAAGGGAGAAGCTGAACGTGAAGGTATGAATTTGTGTTGTCCAAAAGAAATTTCTCCAGTGATGGAAATATTCTGTATCTGCATTGTCCAATACTGTAGCCACAAGCCACAAAATAGCTATGGAACATCTGAAATGTGGCAAGTGCAACTGAGGTACTGAATTTTAAAGTGTATTTAATTGTAGGGAATTCCCTGGCGGTCCAGTACTTAGGACTCCATGCTTTCACTGCCAGGGGCCCAGGTTTGATCCCTGGTCCAGGAACTAAGATCCCACAAGCCACGTGCCATGCCCCCCACCCCAAAAGTATTTAATTGTAATGAATTTAAATTTCGATGGCCACATGTGGCCAGTGGCTCCACATTAGACAGCACAGGTGTGAGTGGTACGTATAGCATAGTCATGGAGAAGGTCCTGGGGAATGGAAATAAACAGAAGAGGCCGAAGTTTGAGCCCTGGGGTGCTCCAGCTTTTACAGAAAATGAGAAGATCAACCAAAGGAGGTTGAGGATGGTTAATGAGCTAGGTGAGAACAAGAGGTAGTGATGACCCAGATATACATAAATGTTTCAGGAAGGAAGGAACAACCACTTTTGTCAAATGCTGCTGATAAGCTAAGGAAGATGATGACCAAGACCAGACCTTGGAGTTTGGCAACTTGGAAGGAAAATTTTCTAACTCAAAAGGACTGCCTCCTCACCAGCCAGCTAGACAGTTATCTGCAGTGGGTTCTCTCTCCCCACACATGCCTCACTCACCTGGGCACTGGCCTCCTGTCACTACTTTCTCCACCATCCAGGGCTCTCTGCCTTGTTCCAGGAAGGAGATCACATCAGGTTTGGAAATGGCAAAACCTGGATGTGAGAAGAAAACATGCCACACAGTTACGGTGCGGGGCCCCAGAATTCAGACCTAGGGCCTGGTTATCGAGCAGGAGAGGCAGTTGCAGGACGGGCCAGGGGAATATGTGAGTCACCTGAAGGCTGAGGAAGATGTAGCTTCAGGCCATAGAGCTACCCTTTAACCAATCAAAAGACACCCCAAAACTGGTAAGAAGGAACAGATGTGCCCAGGGGTAACCTCCAAACTGACCACATCGCCTTACCCAGTGAGACCAGGTTGCTATAGATCTCCAACATCACATCTCTGTACAAATCCCTCTGAGCAGGCGCCAGCTGTTCCCATTCTTCTTGGGAGAAGACTACGGCCACATCCCTGAACAAGTCTGAACCCTGGAACAACAGGCAGGTATGTTATATGTGTATTTCAAAGAAATGTTTTTCACTGGGATGAGAGGAGATGGAGGAGGTCTCTGCAAGAACGGGGTGTTCTGGTGAAAAAGAAAGCTGGGGCTGGAGGCCTTAGATGTGAACAAGTGATAGGAAAAGATGAGCACAGGTAAAAGAGATGTTCAAATATTATTGAACTTCCCTTTTTACTACAAACCAAAGCTCTTGTACTCAGTTCTGGGACGAAAATTAAAATCCAGCCAAATGGAGTTTCTCAGTTGTGACAATATAATCAAGCACACTGCCTACTCTGTCCTTGGTATATGATAAATTCTCAATGTGAAACCTATCATTTGTACTTTTATGGAGTAACAACAACAAAACCCAACAATTTTTGGTAGACTTTCCCCAAAATGTTTTATTAAAAAATATTTTCTATCTTAGAAAACAGAACTTTCATTTAAGTCAAGAATTGCTTCAAGATGTAGGCTCATTATTATGTGAAAGTGTATCACAAACATTTTTCCTTATGAGAAAAATCTTCAATGAAGATTACTTTATTAGCTGTACAGTTTTCTATCAAGTGAAATAACTGACTCAACCATTCTCTTCCTTTGGATGCAGAGGTCTCCAAGGTCAGATCTCTTAAGGCTGTTCCAAAACTATGACTACCCAGATTCTGAACAATTTATCCATCTATCTGATGGACAGATGGATAGATCTATCTGAACATCTATCCATCTATCTATCTTTCAGTCCTCAGCTCTGTACTTTGCTTGCTTTTAAACTCAAGAAGCTGATGGAGAGTAACCAATATTCCAATGCTCTGTTCAACTCCAAACTGGACCTTAATTCTGGCATCTTAATCTCTCCTAGATTCCCAGCTAAACTTCAGTTACACACCCAGTTGTCAATACAGGAGATGTCACCTGAATGACAGTGTCAATGTCACACTGAAATTGAGACCAACCAATACCAGCTTCCCTGCTTTTTTGTGTGTGATCCCTCATCAGTAGCCATCACCATTTCATCAAACCTCAGTTCCTATAAGGGATGCTCTCATTTTGTGTAAGGAAATGGATTTCTTCTCCCTCTGGCCTCCCAGCAAAATACCAAGCCAACAGAAGATGTGGAGTGCTATATAGAATGAATCCGTGTGGGCACTGATCAGAGTGGATGGGGCTATGGGAGAGGATACTAGCTGCCTGGTCTTTTTTTTTAATTTTTATTTTTTTAAAATTTTTGGCTGTGTTGGGTCTTTGTTGCTGCGCGTGGGCTTTCTCTAGTTGTGGCGAGTGGGGGCTACTCTTCATTGTGGTGCAAGGGCTTCTCATTGCAGTGGCTTCTCTGGTTGAGGAGCACAGGCTCTAGGTGCGTGGGCTTCAGTAGTTGTGGAACATGGGTTCAGTAGTTGTGGCTAGCGGGCTCTAGAGTGCAGGCTCAGTAGTTGTGGCGCACGGGCTTAGCTGCTCCATAGCATGTGGGATCTTTCCGGAGACCAGGGCTCGAACCCGTTTCCCTGCATTGGCAGGCGGATTCTTAACCACTGCGCCACCAGGGAAGCCCTGCCTGGTCTTTTTGTTCCCTAAAATGGGAACCTCTGAGAACCAGATTCTTGGATGGAACCCAGGTGGGAAGCTTCAGGATAAGGAAAGCAAATACTTATATGATTTTAAAACTCACAAGGGACATGACGGTCAAAATTTCATGGGTTGATGGGTCCTCCTCCTTGTTTCTCTCTTAGGGAAGGGCAGAGTCCTGAGATGGCAGAGCTGAGGGAGGAAAGAGCAAACATGAGAGGCTAGGCTTGCTTCACAGCTCCCAGAATGCCACGGTGACAAATACCCACCTCCTTTACTCCCCATCCCCCCAAATTAGAGGGAGCTGGGACAACCTGTGGACTTTACCCAGCTGCACCCTGTTACTGATGCAAATCTGAGGTGGGGATGCTCAGACCTGGTCCAGTGACTAAGGATGGTGTCCCAAGGACAAGGAAGGCTGTCCTTAGGCCAGGGAGCAAAGCCTGCATGATCTGCATCAGCCCAGCCCACAGTGAAACATTCCCAGAACCAAAGCATTTAACTGTCTCATTCCCACAATGTAACACCTTTGGAAGTCTCCCTGGCTATTACCCTAACTTCCTAACTCACAAAGAACCTTACAGCCATACCTAAGGCCTGGCAGACACCATTTTGTGGACCCTGCCTGAGTCAACAAATGTTTGCAGTGGCAAATTAGATGGACCAGGCCCCGTACTCCATTATCATCACATAAACGTGCCCCTGCACAGAGATATAACAGTGAGCAAAACTGTGTGCACAATATTTGCTGAAAAAAACAGAACCAAAGATTAGTACCTAACAGTTCACAAGTAGGCAAGTAGTTGAATCATTTTTGGCACAGCCGTATGATGGATGCCAAGCAACTATCAAAAATAATGTGGAACAACATCAACTGACAAATATATTCACAACTGGACCCTTTGTACAACAAGAGAACATTCAGCAAAAGAAGTCAAACCCACCCATCTACTGACACACAGGCTAACCACCCCCCCCAAAAAAACCCCAAAACTGGAATGGAAAACAACCAAGTGTTAACAATGATGCCATTTAACCACTTCCTGAGTTCATCAGTAAAACCGCAGTATTTTATAAAAGAGCTTAGGACAGTGCCTGGCATGTTACAAATATTTAATTCTAAGTAATGTGTAAATGAAATAATGATAAGTGTTCCTTAATATCCATGTAGTAGGACTTTTTCCTTATGAACACTTTTTTTTTAAGCATTATTTGTATTATCTATAAATAGTCTATTACAGCGGTGGCTAGTGATTTACTCAACCACTTCCCCACGGTTGGATAAATTTTCAACAAGATCCTCTAAATTGTCTCCAAGTTGCTCCTTCTAAACTAGTGGTTCTAAATCTTCTGGGGTCTTGCAACTCGTTGACAATCTCATGAAACAAGACTTCGCCCCAGATCTTTTAAAAAGCACGCGTAAGAATAAACGCAAAACATCCGTAAGTATTTTCTGGAGGTGGGGACTCCCCCAACAGACACACCCACCTAAGGGGTCTATGGACCCGGGCTATGAGCCCTGACGCCGACAGGGGGCGCAAGCACGGCGCGCACCGCGGGGGAAGATGGGCAGTGTAGTCCAGAGCCGGGAAAACTGCAGACCGACGATGAAGCGAGACGTTCGGGTTCTTCCCAGGCCAGCGACCCGCCCGGCCTCGGCGCCCAGTCCTGCGTGGACTCCGGAGCGCTTAGCAAGCTCCGAAGCCCCTCACCTGCCGCCTACTCGGGTCCAGTTGCCCCTATGGTCGCGCCCCGCACAGCCCCAGGTACGCTTCCCGCTCCGTACCGGCGGAGTCGGGAGCCGGAAGACAGCGCAGACGCACAAAGCCCCTCGGCTGATGTGTCGCGATTGGGCCAGCGCCGCAGTCTCTTCTGGGAAACGTAGTCTCTAGGCCTAAAGGCTGGAACCAAACCGCAAGGCCGCGTCTCGCGATGCTTCGGGTGGGCGGATTGCTTGCGTGCGTGGGAGGCCGTCGGGGTTACGGCAGAGCGTGTTGGGTTCCCGGAGTTGCGGGGTGATGGTCGGTCCATTGGGCCCGTTGTCTGCGTGTGACTCTCGCTGATTGGAGGTGAGTATGTGTGACTGTGACTGGGCGCGCCGTGTTCGGTTCTCACCCGGTCGTTGAGTGTGTGACTGGGACCGTTAAACGCCAGGTACACGTTTGCGTGTGGCTGTGTAAATGTGGTATATGACAAAATTTTTCTCGTCTGTTGTTAAATCACCTTTGCCGTGGAACAGCCATTTTATTGAAAGATTTGGAGAGAGGAAAAAGCCCGAGAGTTCATTTGGTACTAATTTTAAAACATTATGTCGAAATACTTGTAGATTATGAAGGAGAATGCAGAATCAGCAAAAATGTTTCAAAGTTGTCAAGGAGTTTCCTGTTATGAGAGGACATTTTTCGGCTAAAGCCTCTAGTGCTACAGCTTTGGTTTGTGAAAGCATGAGAAGCTCTAAACTTCACCCATCCCGGGACAGCGTGTTCCAGTATGGTCGGAAGTCCAATGTCCTGGTTGCTGGTCAGGCCCTGTTACACCTGGTCTGTGAATGAGGAAAGCATCCCTATCCAAGGTGGTACATTTGTCCTTGACCCAGGCCCACAGTCCAGAGACCTTGTCTCTTGATTTCTCGTAGAACATGTACTCTTGTGTCTCACTTCTTGAAACATTTTTTTGAGATTTGTGCACATCCATGTTGCTGCATGTCTGGAGGATGTCTTTTTCTCTTAATTAATTTAGAAATGTAATTTAAACCCAGTAAGAATACCAGTACTGTTTCTCCATTGGAAATAGACAACTTGATGCTAAAGTTCAAATGAAAAAATAAACATACAAAAATAGCTAAGAATACTCTGAGAAAAGAAAGCTATGGTGTATGCTAACCTGATCAGATATTAAAGCATTCTAAAAACTTCTATAATTATACCTGCTGTGTGGTATTGGCTCATGAATTGTCAGGTGGAAGAGACTAGAAAGTCCAGAAATATCAAATACAGAGGGAAATCTACTCTGTAGTAAAGGTGGCAAATCATTGGGATAAAAATGAACTTTTTAATAAATAACCTTGTGGAATAATTGGATAGTCAGTTGGAAAAAGAATTGTATTTTATACAACTATTGTAATAATTATAATATTTATAAAATATAATTATTGTATTATTGTATAATTATTATACAATTTTATACATACCTCACATCATGCAAAAGAATAAACTCCAAATTGATCAGAGTTCTAAATTAAACCATGCAAATAGCAGACATGTACAGAGGTGAATTCTATTATAACCTGTATGTGTGGAAAGACTTTCTAATTTCGACTTAAAAATCCATACTTAATAATTAAGACTGCTGCACTTAAAACATAAAATTAAAGCACTTATGTAGGGCAAAATACACCATGAACAAAGGCAAAAGACAGATGGCAAAATCTTTACAACTTTATGAATCTCAGATAATGAGCTAATATTCCTAATATATAAAGACAAAAAGCCAGAAAATGCAAGCAATCTCTGAACTCAACTTAGTAGATTGTTTTTCCTAATAGCTTTGGTGTAGTGATTTCGAAACTGTTTTGTGTACATCATAGGATTGAGCAAATGAATAAATATAGAGATTTGTTGGGAGCCAGTGTTTTACTGTGGGAAAAGAGAGATATAAATAAAGGATAATGGAAGGTAAGGAAGAACTCTGTGATGTTGGGTTGGTGTGAACTCATGATTAAAAGTGTGTCTGGGGCTTCCCTGGTGGCGCAGTGGTTGAGAGTCCGCCTGCCGATGCAGGGGACGCGGGTTCGTGCCCCGGTCCGGGAAGATCCCACATGCTGCGGAGTGGCTGGGCCCGTGAGCCATGGCCGCTGAGCCTGCCCGTCCGGAGCCTGTGCTCCACAACGGGAGAGGCCACAACAGTGAGAGGCCCGCGTACCACAGAAAAAAAAAAAAAAAGTGTCTGTATACCTCACCCAGATCCGTGTTAACACCCATAGTGAGGGCATGCTGATATCACTTACTTTTGCTAAGATGTGGTGGAAATGACAGTTTACCTTTATGGTCTTCCTCCCCAAAACGCATAACCCCAGTTTGATGACAGAATATCAGACAAATGCCAGTTCAGGGACATTAGACAAAATATCTGACTCAAACTCCTCAAAACTGTGAAGGTCATTGAAAACGAGGAAAGTCTTAGAAACCATCACAACTAAAAGAAGCCTAAGGGGACACAACTACACTAAAAATAATGTATCCTGAATGAGATCCTGGAACAGAAAACGGACATTAGATAAAAACTAAGAAAAAATAAAGTGTGGACTTTAGTTAATAATAATGTATCAATGTTGGCTCATTGTTAAACAAAAAACAGACTAATGATAGGGGAAACTGGGTGCAGAGTATGTGGGAATCTTCTGTACTATCTTTGAAGTTTTTCTGTAAATCAAAAACTTCTAAAATAAAGTTTATTTAAATTAATTAGTCTTACTATTACTTTAAAAAAAAAAGTACTTATGTACTTATGTATTTTCTACTTTTCTATTTGGTGAATGGGCCTGGAAGCAATGATGCCTCAGTAGCAATAAGCAGATCTTGGTCTTTAAATACAATTCTCTAATAAAAGGAACCAAAGCTTCTTGGGGTAATGTCTGATTCCAGGACGATGGCAGGGAAAGTACAAGATGAGTATGGAATATATTCTTGTGCCAAAAAGTAGGGAGATGCTAAAAAAAATATCACAGAGGATTCCCTGATCACAACTGTGATGGTGTGATAGTACTAAACTAGGTAACATGTAGGAAACAAGTCTTTTCAGATATTGGACAACTGGTAGTGCAAGACTTTGATCCCCAAGAGAGGGAAGAATAAATGAGTTCCTACAGCTGCAGTGGCTTTCTCCCTGGAGACATATTCCAGACAATGCAGGAAGGAGGCAGAGCACAACAGATTTACTAAAGTGAGACAACAGAACTTGGGAAAACTGAAGTAACTGGAATTTGCCGAGCAGAGCGTGGAAGAGGAAGGAGGGAGATACTCTGAGAAAGAGCTCCAGAAATATGCATGAGTCTCCCTGAGTTTTTGGCTGAAAACTAAGCTGCACATAGGTCTATTTAAAGTGAAATTCTAGAACATGCAAAACTGTAGGGACAGAAAGTAGATCAGTGGTTGCTTTGGTCCAGGGGTCCAGGGAAAGTCAGAAAAGGAATAGAAGGAGAATTTGGGGGATGATGGAAACCTTCCATATCTTTATTGAGGTGATGATTGCATGGATGTATATGTTTGTCAAAGCTCTTTGAAGTATATTCTTCAGGATTCAGCTTGAAGGGGGCTTCTGTGGGCAAAACCAGGACAATTGAAGCATCAATATAATTAGAGTAGCAGTATTACTCAGAATATTTCATATGTCCATACTAAAATAAATGATGAATTAATGAGATGAGAAAGAACTTACAGAATTCCAACTAGTAAATGTAGAAGGAATGATAGAGTTAGAAAATATCTTTCAACCATCATGGTAGTAATTGATTCAGGCAGAAATCACATTGATTATAAATCTGTTGCTAAAGATTGATGATGAACACGATATCTTTGTAGTCTCAAATTATCTCTCCACAGATAACTTGCTACAAAAACAAAAATACTTTAGCATGATCACAGTTAATCAAATGATTTGAATCTGCAACTATCTTCTGGACTGTAGGTTCTCGAGGTGTGAAATTCAAACTTGCTGTGCTCAGTCACTTCTTGATTTAATATAGTAACCAGATCTTGTCTCTAAGATGTTGATGTTTTGTTTATCATTAACTTTTTTTTTAAATTGAGACCACAAATGGGTCTTCCCACACACACACATTTTATTTATTTATTTATTTTTGGCTGTGTTGGGTCTTCTTTGCTGCACGCGGGCTTTCTCTGGTTTCAGAGAGTGGGGCTACCCTTCGTCATGGTGCGCGGGCTTCTCTTGTTGCGGAGCATGGGCTCTAGGCGTGCGGGCTTCAGTAGTTGCAGCACGTGGGCTCAGTAGTTGTGGCTCGTGGGCTCTAGAGTGCAGGCTCAGTAGTTGTGGCGCACGGGCTTAGTTGCTCCGCCACATGTGGGATCCTCCCAGACCAGGGCTTGAACCCATGTCCCCTGCATTGGCAGGCGGATTCTTAACCACTGTGCCACCAGGGAAGTCCCTATCATGAACTTTTTACATTGATCTTTATTTTAAAAAATATTTCATTGATCTATCATGTTTTTTGATTTCTGGGGGTTTTTTTGGTGCCCCATTAAACGTTGTGCTTGAAGGAGTGCTTCACTCACCTCACTCTAGTTGTGGCCTTGGCTTAAGCATGTTTGGGGGTGTTGAGGAAAGGAAGGATGGAAGAACAGATGCGCTGCGGCATCTAAACTCTACCCTATTCTCAGGTTCCTGTCCCTTCTGTTCTTCGAGAAAAGTTGTTTTCTTCTCATCTCTTTGAAAGACTCCTTGGCCTTTGAAAAGCTGTCTGATTCCAACAGTCACAAACTAATCATTGCAAAAGCTGTGCTTTGTGCTTCACATATACTGACAGTGTAAAACAGATACTATTTTCCTCATTTTGACTATGAAGTAAATGGAGATGGACAAAGGTTAAATGACTTGCTAAAGGACACAGAGCTGGTGGAGTGGAGGAGTTGGTATTGCCACCAAACCAGACCTTAGTACCTGTGGGTGGAGGAGATGCTGCCTCTGCCTTCTGAGTGATTAGTGAGCCAGTGTGGTGGAACCTTGGAGAAAGCATCTTCAGAGACAGAAGACATTTGCTTCATGATGTCACAGAAGCCATGAGGCCTCTTGGAAACAGAACCAAAGA